AGAAAAGGGGGAAGGTAGAAAATATCTGTAATTTCAGTCCACATTACTAAGAGATGCTTCTGGAAAGCAAAGAAATGACTAACAGGAATAGATGTGATAGTTTGTGATGCTGGCAGAATTTAGCTTTAGTCTGGAAGCTTGCATGTGAGGATTGAAGTTGTTGGTAAGTCTGCAATACTCTGGTTTCTATTTTGTGTGAGTCACTTATTTATGAGTCCCACATGCTAATGTTTCTCAGAGTTTTCAAAACACTGTTCCTAATCTTGTTTGGTGCTGGAACAGTGTCATGGAAGGTCAGGTTAGCTCCAAGACATGAGGCACCATTAGTCTCAGGAGGATAACCAAATCAAGCCATGCTGAGGAGTAAGAGTTCTGTGGGCAATGAATTTGGGTTTAATATCCTTCATTTCAGCAACATTTTAATGAGTTGGAACAAATGGTTTCTGTGAGCTCAGTCCAGGAGGTCACTCACACTCTTGAGTTTCACTTCTATGCCAGTCTTGCTCTTCAGTCCTAGTGGACCAGCACACGCCTCAGGCTGCTGCTGCTGCTGTGTGTTTGTGGCAGTCGGGTGGGTTTGTGCAGATGCTGCTGCCCATGGAAATCCTCAGGCTGCTTGAGAGGCCATGGCACACACCTGCACAGATGCAGCTGTGTCTGAACGCCTGTGGGTGAGGATTTTTGTCTTTGCAGGTTTTTGTTAAAGGGGTTAAAGCAGGGCTAATACTTGCCTTTCTCCCTGGAGCGCTGAAGCCTTAGTGATTAGGTAATGAGTCCTTGTGGTGTATTAGAAAGCTGTGAATTGCATTAAGGCAGTAAAGCCTAAGCAACCTCGGTGCATGCTCCTGAGCTCTGCTCTGAGGGCCAGGAGCTGGAGATCTGTGTGACCAAAGGGCAGTATAATTACAAACCATTTTACCTGGGAATCCTTTATTATCATGAGTACAGGCCAATTTCCCATACCTTGTTTCTCTGACTGTAATGTTTAGCATAATAGAAATCCTATAGTGTCAGAGGTTAACTCTAAGAGTTTGTTTATGTGAAAAAAGGGAGAAAAAAAGAGAGAACTTTTCTATAGGTTCCCTAGTTGTGTTGAGGTGGAGATGTCATGTCCTTTCATGTAACTTAGTTTCAAATCCCTTTTTTTTTCCTCAGAACCTTGATAAGAAACTTTCTGAATTAATGAACTTTTTTAGAGACTAAAGCAACAGTTAAGGGAGTATCAATGATGATCTGGAGGGTAAATGAGCAAATCCCTTGTTTAGGAGAACTGTTCTGCCACTATGCATTTGGAAAATATTTTAGATATTGTGTGTAGCAGGCAGATTTTAAATTAGCTATAGATTTTTCATCTGGTTCAGTAAAAAGATAATTTGCTTCATAGCATGTGTCACAATAGAGGCTGGCTACACAACAGAAGCTTGGTTTCAGAAAAGTTTTTTGATGTCTTGACATTTCATTTTCTTCTACATTGTGAGATTTCAGCTTCATTTTTATGCTTCTAGAACCAGAGCTGTCCTGGGGTGTCATATCTGGAACTGAAACTTTGGTATTTCAATTAGACGGTTGCAGAGATACCCAGCTAGGGCTCATAAAGCTGGTTTGAAATGGGCTACAATGCACACATCTCTGTTCTGTCTACTGTCTGCTGAATGTGGGTTTAGATGGGAGTTCATTCAGGTACATCCAGGGTTTTAATATTAGGGCCAGAGCAATAAGAATGTCTCACTGGCATAGCTAGACCTAGCCCCAACCAGCCTTTCTTAATGAAATTATTATTGATATGTCTCCAAAATAGACTTTCACTGAACTTTTTTGAGCCAAACCCTTCTGATAAATGTTAATTATTTCCATCCATGTGTGACAACATGTAGAGTACAAAAGGAAAGCTAGATCCTGCTTTCTGCAATTAATAAATTTATTGCTTGGGGAGAAGGCTTAGAAGCAGGTATTGGATTCAGTTATTTGTGCTTTATCTCTGTCAGGCTCAGGGAACTCATGTATTTGGCTGCAAGAACTAACATTAGTGAAATATTCACTATCTTCTATGCCACTTTTTAATTACCTATTGTTATATAAATCCTGCTGTTCTTTTTCAGTGTAAAATGGAGATCAGAGGAACTTCACTGCTGAGATTAATTTTTAGTGTCAATTCTTTCTAAGGCCCTCTGAGTATTTGAAGGTTTGCTTCCAATAGTTTTCATTAATAGCTAGAGTTTTTTTTAGGCTGGTTCTCCTTTAGTTGCACATGCTGAGGCTCAAGAGACACATTCAAAGCCCAGTGAATGAATTCTGACTTGAGCTGCTCTATTTCCAGCTCTCTGTCTCCGGAGGCACTGAAAATTGTAATATCAAGAGAAAGAAGCAGGTAGGTCCTACAGCTTAGCTGTATAAAAAATGCCCAGACCTAAAAAATCCCTCACTTAGGGATATTGGAATATTGCTCCAGCTGACCTTTGGAGAGACTCTAGAAGATACAGAAAAACCCAACCATGTTTGTTCCTTGTGACGGATTTCTGAAATTAAATACTCTTCTCCAATATTTGAGTGGAGAATTCCCTGTTCTGAAGAGTACTAAAGCAGTCCAGCACCTTCTTTGTTCAGAGAAAAGGGCTTGTGCATTTTGCTCATGGTATTATAAAATTACTTGGAAGGTAAAAAAATTGCTTACTTTTATTTTTTTTAAGAAAACCAGAAGTGATTGAAACTACCTGACTTTGTAAGGCATAAAAGAGCCTGTAAAATCCACAAAAAAGACTTGTTGTTGATAGACATGAACTTAAAAAGAAAAATGACAAGGGAAGTATATGTGCAAGTATTTCTGATGCTCAGAAGTGTGTACTTCTGAAATTGTTGTGGATTTTCTTCATCTCTGTCCACTTTGGTGATGACAATATATAATTAGACATTAAAAGTTATGAAATTAGGACTGTTCTTTGAAGTGGAGTTGCAGATATGATTTTTTATAATCCTTGTGTGATAAAGGAATGTGTACAAACAGAAACATATCCTTATATATTATTTTGTTTATTGAATATTTTAGAAAAAAAAATCACAAAATATCTTTGCTCACTAGGAGATCACATATGGTACATATGGTACAAACTATTTTGTTGATATATAGGAGCTGCAAGATACAGTGATATACTGGTAGCAGCGAAGGATGTTTGTGTTCAACCTGCTACTGAATTAAAAAAAAAGGGAATTTGTTCACAATGTAAAATGGATCATAGTAAGTCTGGAAGCCAGTGAATTTCTGGGAGGCAAACATCATGGAAATCTAGACTTGGCTACGATTTCAGAATTTCTACCTGTCCAGCATAGTTTCTGATTGAAGATCTAGATTACAATGACATATTAGTGGTTACTATATGGTCTCTTGCTTTATTGAAATTGTATAGTCTGTTTATTTTATTTTTGGTTTGTAACAGTTTTCCTTTCTTCTTTTTTTTTTAAATTCATCTCTCACCTTAAATTGAGCTATGACCTTAAGCTGACTTCCTGTATCAACCATCTGCATCCTCCTGCAGCTTGTTTTTTTGTCTATGAATTTAGTCCCTGTTCTACATACTGAATGTCTGTAGTATCCCTCCTAAAAAATGCAAATATTGATCATCTTGCTCTACAATGGATTTTATTTTCAGAAAATAAGTTTTAATGCAGCATTTTTGTAATGGAACAATAACAACTAAAGGAATACAGTCTCTGAGTATTTCTGTAGGATTGTAGGTAGATAGGCTAATCGGAAAGGGAGAAAATGCAGTAAAATGCAATGTTCAGAACCAGTTTTGTGTTTAGTTGAGTTAAACTCTTTGCATAGCCTTGGTGTGTGTGGGAAGGGCCTGGAGTGGAGTTGAGGCAGTTCAAACTCTTGTGCAGCCTAGAGAAGCCTCAAGGTTGTTACAGAGCTCTACCTACTTTTCCTTGGCCCAAAAGGACCTGCACATGTGCATCTTTTCTCCAAACCATCCTCCTGTTCTAGAGGGTCTTTGTAGCTTTTTGGCCTTCAGCTGTTTGCTTGGTTTTGTGAGCTTCCCTGTGGCTTTCAAAAGGTTATTTCTGGGATAAGAATTTGGCCTCTATTATCCTACTCCCACACATATCACATAATAGTCCCTGGTAGTTACTGTGCTTTTTTCAGGGAAAATGCAACGTCTGATCCCATTTCTTCAGTGACCTACAAAGCTCTTTAATATTGCACAGTCTAAGTAATCCCATTGATTTTACTAAAGCTGACTATACAGCATAAAGTTAAATGCTGGCTTCAGTCTATGTTTTCTTTAACAGCTGGGCCAACAAAGTAGGGTCTCTGCTGGTGACAAATTTGTGTCAATTCCAATGAAATTCAGAGAGGGATATAAAACTTTCTTGGTTTTTTTTTTTTTTCATAATAATTATAAGGATTGTTACTTTAAATGAATAAATTAAATACTAAACATAAAATTTTCAGTACAAGTCCAACATCGCTCCAGTGCATTCTGGCATTTATACTTTTTAAGTGCTGAATTCTTTAATCTGCTTGATGACAGCTCTGCTTAGGAGCAGTCTGTCTCACTCTTGGGTGAGTCATAGTAAATAAGCCAGCAGGGACTATTGGATCATTTTGATCATCACAAGCCATTATACCTTCACCCAGTTATCCCTGTAGCATTTGTTCTTGAGGCTGAATGTAACAGATCCATGACCTTTCTGAATTTCATAGGAGAAAATGGAGTGGCTTCATGTGCTTCACTGGAGCACTCTAGGGCTCAGAATTCATGGTTAATTTAGTTTACAAAGAACTGTTTGTGGTACCAGTAGTGAAAATTAAAGAGTTCTTACTAACTTGTTTCATGTCAATGTATGACTCATCTCACTGAGAGACTGATGATTATCAGTATAATTTAATCAAAGGAACTGCTTGTATCCATAAGGTGTAACCTACACTGGATGAGTAAGTTGAAGCTCCTGAGAGTATTAATGTAAAAACTCCCACCTCTACTAAATAAATCACATTTTACCAGTCAAATCAGAGGGACCAGGCCTTCCTCCTCTGTTGTTGGCCCTCGGAGCCACAGTGCAGTTTATGGTGACGGTGAGATGAATCCCCTGAGCCTCGCCTTTACTTTCAGAAGCTGACTCACTTGTTCTCATGAGGAATAAATGATCTCTACCTGCAGGGGTAGCAGGGAGGCAGCAGCACCCTCAGGGCAGCATCAGCCCAGCTTCCCTGGAAGGTTTGTGCCAGCACGGAGAGCTGGGCGGCCATGGCACGGTGTGCCGGCCCGGCCTGGCCTTTGGGCCTGTGAGGGGAGGGCTGAGGGAAGGCTGAGGATGAAGAGTTTGGAGCAGAACAGGACTCGAGGCTTCTGCAGAGTGTGGAGGTGTGAGAGGAGCAGAGCTCGGAGCTCTGGGGTTGTGCAGCCAGGCCGGGGCTCTGTGGAAGAGAAGGCAGAGCCTGTCTGGAAGGCGGCTGCCGGTGTGGCGTGTGGTGAGTAAAGCTTGGGATGAGACAGCAGAACCCTGAAAGTTCAGGAGCTGAATCAGTGCTGACAAACTTCAAGGGTATTCCAGCTGTGATGGAAATGGGCCCATGGGCAGCTGCCACCACTTGTGAGTGGCTTTCATCTGGAAGCTCTAACCACTGCAGGCCTGAGACTGGAGCGCACTTTGGCCGAGTCTGAACCCCACTCCAGATTTCTGAGGGCTGTCAGCAGGTTCTGTCTTCCAGTGCTTTGTAGGGAATGGAAGAGATACCCACTGCTCATGATCCATATGGGTAGCAGTGAGAGAGTAGAAAAACACAAAAAACAGTGGTAGTGGTACATCACCTGTCCCCTGGGCAGCTCACTCATTGCACTGTGGTGAAATAATGAGGTATTTCTAGAATTCTAAGATGAACGCATGAACATGATGCTTGTTTGGCTATTAGAAATAATACTTTTTTTTTTTTTTTTTTTAACTGAGGGCATGGAGGTGGCTTAAGATAACTTACTAAAAGGATAGAAAGATCTGAAGCAGTAGCCATAACCTGCTTGAATCCATTGTTACTCAGGAATGGCTAGAGTATTTACCCAATTCATGTAACATCTCTTTGCATGAACTCGCTTGTATGGTACAGTGGCAGTAACAGCAAAGCAAGAGTTTCTGTGGGAAGAAGTTCCTCAATCAGCTCTGAGTATTTAGTCATTTTGTGGTCATACTGTAGAATATATTTAATATAATGGAGTTCATTTCCTCTGCATATTTGGGTTATGGGGATTGTAGAGGGGCTCATCTTCCTGTTGGGAGAGGGGAAAGTTAGGATGCCATGAAAATGCTGCAGTCCTCTGTTGCAATAAGGGGTGCAGGGATAAAATTTCTTGAGCTGGTCACCCTCCTCAGGCAGGAGCTGCTGACAGTGGGCAGAGACTTAGTGCAGGAAACAACAGTAGAAGTATAAAAAGAAGAAACTTGGGAGAAAATAAAACCTGGAGAAATGCAGTGCATGGTACTGTTGGAAAAGAATGAGGAGCTGACTCTCGTGACTGAGGATATGACAAGGTCAGAGAGAATGAAGTAGAGTTGTTCTTCATAAGTCTGACATAAGGGATTGATAGGGACACATTCCTATTGTGAAACTTGGATTTGTCATAATTTCGCAAATAGTTTTGAAAATGGTATTTTCTGTCAGGTGAATGGAGCACAGACATGAATGACAAAGATCTGCAGGCTTGTATTGTGAAAATGAGCCAGTAGGCTTAATCCAGGTTTTGTGGTTTGAAACTCTGAAGATGATTAGAGTTTTTTTTAAAAAAAAAATTAAGTAAGTTTCAGGAATGTTCTGAGCTACTCTTTGTTGTGTGGTATGTGACAGCAATGGTGAAGGTCTTAATAAGGCTTCAAGTAAAAGGGAAGGATTTTCAAAATCCTTTAGGTACTGCTTTTTAAGCTTTTGAACAGCACCTCAGTGTCAAGACATGGAAAGTGCTGAATGAAATCTGCAGCAGCAAGTTAGGCATTTTTTTGCAGCAGAGGTTTTTCTATCTGAGGAGGTGGGCAGCAAGTGAAGCTGAAAATAAAAGAACAATATAATAGAAAAATATAAAGTGTTTGTGGATGTTTCCATCTGGCCCTTGAAGACAAAGAAAAGGCTGGCTTCTTACAGTGAGTGAAATATTAAAATTTAAAAAAAGAACAACAGAACGAAAAAATAGAGCCACAAAAACTCCCATCAGAAACAAAACTACTTTTGTCTAGCTGGATTTTTATTAGGTCTTGCAAACAGGAGTCTGAGACTCAAAAGAAATCTGTTATAGTCAACATTCAAGTTTATGCTCTGCCTTTTGTAAATCTGTAGGATTGTATTGCCAACAAAGATGACAAGAATAAGAAGTGGCTTAAAATGCTACGGTCTGAAAGTATGTCACTTGCATGGTGCCACTAAAGCAAGACATTTTGTATATAAAGCTGATGAGTCACTTAAATGATTAAAAATTTTCCTGTTGGTGCCCTTCAATTACACATGTAATCAATTCAGCTGCCATAATGCAGTGTCTGATAGGATGTGAAGTTGATATGCTATGACTGCTGCATTATGTATAATGCAGCTGAATGGTACCAGGGAGTATATTAAAGAAAATTAGCTCTTACATGATATGTTCTCATGCACTTATGGTGAGATGGAAAAAAGTGAACTTACTGAGCATTTTCATAAGTTAATATATATCTGAGAGAAGAAACTAGCATAATGTAGAGCATGATATCTCTTGGGTAACTTATTGTAATGAACTTCACTGAAAACATACCAAATGCTGGAATAATTTCATGTAGTAATTAGGTCATGGAATTCAAAGGTCTCCTTGGGCTTTGTGGATACATGAAGCAAGTAATTCATATGAAGGAGAATACTGAATTCCTGCTTGAAGTGTGCTGTTGCTATGCAGACAGTTGCGTCTGGAAAGGTGTGTGCTGAGGGTCAGGGAAAGAAGAGCAATATCCTTTACACAGCTGTCTGTGCTTAGAGTTTCCTCCTTGGTTAACAGATCTTTATAAAAATCAGATAGAGGCAAATCAATAAGAAGAAAAGGTGTATAGATCCTTAAGAAAATCCTATCACTCTGGAGCTGAACAGCAACCATTTCTGCTTTGAAGGGTCATGGATGGCCTCCTTTAGCCTCCATTGGAAACTTCTGCTGAGAACAGATGGACTGATGTGTTTAGTACTTAGCCAGCACAAAGCTGGCCTGCAGTGTGCAGTGTGAGCACAGGCTGTGTTTTGTACAGTGCACTACAACGTCCTGATGTGGGCAAGGAAGTGTAAATAGGAGAGCAGGAGAGGAGGCAGTGCATTCTGCATATCTTTTTGAACAAAGTCCTTGGAAGCTGTTACCAGTGTGCCTTTTAATCTGATAATGTCAGATCCCTACAGACACTTAGTGAGCTGTAATTGCTTCCCAAGTAGAGCCTGCTGCCTGTCAACCAAGTACACCCCATTTGTAGCTGAGGGCTCAACCTGAGGAACTTGATTACGGTTTTGTCAATAAGATATACGCCAATTAAATTAGACAGCACAATCCCAGTGAGAGGTTGGTGAAGAGCTCTGTTCTAGTTAACTGCAGTGTATGGGAGTGTTCTGTCATCATCTTCTGCCCTTCCTCTGCAAAGTCTCTTTCTTCAGTGGCTGGCTTATGGAGCACTGGTTGTAGTCTTTTTACCATGTTTTCTCAGATGAACTCAGTCAAGGAACCTTCACTTTTTTTTTTTTCAATTTGGTTTACTGTACTCGCTTTCACTCTGAATTATTTTAGTAGTGGTTGCTTTATTCTCCATTTGAAAAATTATGATGGAACTTGCCAGCTCTTTGTGTCTCACTGTTGTTAGTGTATTGCTAGCAATAAACATCAAGTATATATTGTTCTACATCTCAGACCTTTGTAATGCAGGTCAGAATTTGGAATACCTTTTATCAACTTGAAGAAAAATCGAAGGGCTGTCCTTTCCACTCAGGTCCCCAAATCTCTAATAAATTGTGCTGAACCTTGAAGGCATCACAGGCTCCAGTGTAATTGTGTGTGTGACAGCTGTGGCACAGAACACAAAGGGATAGCCCTAAAGTAATCTTGCTGGCTGGGATTGCCACAGTGCCAGGCAAAAATAATCACTGATGGGACTTCTTCTGAAGGGCAGGTAGTGTTGCAGAGTACAAAACTAACCTTGGGAGACTGGAGTAATGACAGAGAGCTCTACTCTCTGCAGCCCTGGACTGCAAATACTGCTTTCCCTGGGTTAGTGCCCGTCCCTTTGCTTTCCCTATTGTCAGTGCTCTCTATAATTGTAATTGTTTGATTTCTGTGGGACTGAGGAATAACAGATTTGAATTAAAATAAAACCAAGCAAAACACAGCTATCTGATAAGACTTCTGCCACTGTAAATCTTCACTGCATCATTAAAATCCCCAGTTAGCATTGTTTCACTTGCAGCTGTAAGACTGACAGTATAAGATGTATTTTCTCATGGATTGGTTTGTAGCTTTCTTGCTGCATTTAATTTCTTTAAGATGAGGCTTTAATATATCTATTTAATTCTTATTTTGCTATACATAGCTCATTTTAAAATTTTCATTTTCTTTGTAGTTAACACAGTGCCTTGCAGAAATAGCAATCTTGAATGAGTACAGAGAAGATGATGAGCATGCAAAGCCTGCCCACGTTCCAAAATATGCTGCAGTCTGATTTACTGATGCTAGAGCTCTATTGAAAAGGAAGGTCTGGAAAAACATGCTCTCATTTTTGCTTTATGTGGTGCTTTGTAATGGAATAGCAGCTCCAGGGAAACAATCATTCTGACCCAGCTGCAGATTGTGCTGCTGAGAAACTCATTTCAGCCCTTAGAGGGAGCCACAGACTTGACTATGGAAATGGAGTAAAACCAGGCAGGTTTTGTTGTGCCCATCTGTGATAGAGGAGGTGGGGAAGGGATGGTTCTCAATTGGTTTTGGTTTTTTTCTAGCTTTTAATTAATAGTAACTTCAAATCAGACATAAGGCTACTTCATGGGGAATGCCAAAGCACATTTTCTTTTGTAGTGACAGATTTGTAGGGTTTTGGAGACCTCAACCAAATGTTAATTTTACCTTTCCCCTTTACATGGTCAGCCTCCTTCTGCACCATTCAGTTCCAGGTTCTACTGTTCTTCTTTTGATGCTGACACAGCAGGACTTGAAAAATTAAGATATTGCATGCTCCTTCCTCTTAAAACATGAAAAATATAAAGACAAAACCACAAGAAATTAAGATCGTGGAGTTCAGAGTCTGAAAAACACGATTGCCACTTTTTTCTTTACTGTGTTTTTTTCTTAATCATATGAAGAAAATATTTTAAATTAATATTTTCTTAATCATAGTAATATTTCTTTAAGGAGAGAGATGCATTACAACCCTCTCTTCCCCTGTAATGTGTAGGTTATAGCACAATATTTTTATGTAAATTACATGACTAGAGTACATTATATGGCTGTGTCATAAAATGCAAAGCTGTTCTCCTGGCTCAGCAATAATCAGCATTGCCAGTGAGCTGTTCAGTTCAGGCAGTGGAAGATGTGAATGCTCAGAGGAAAATGGATGATGAGATTTGCAGCTCTTGGCCAATAAAGGACTTCCCCTTTTGTTAAAAAATGAAATTAAAATGGTTTTCTGTACCTTTTCCTCTCCCTTCCTCCCCTTCCCCCAGCAGATGGATTCTAGTGGCAGTGTTGAGGAGTGCTTAGCCAGAAAGATGCTACACCAGAGGTGGGCCAGAGTGTGTCTAGTCCCAGAAGATGCTGTTTAAGATTAAAGAAAACTCCAAGCTTAAGCAGCTCTGGGCTCCTTGCAGAGACTGCTACTAATTAGAGCATCAAGTTGTGTGGCAATTATTGTAAGGCAGCGACTGCCGACAAAGAACTCCATTAATAGTCACTTTTATTTTGTGCATAGGCTGTTGAGTTGTAATGTTTCTGTAATGATTTTAGCTTAGCTTGGTTTGTTGAAGTAGGGGTAACCAAGGTGATAAAGAAATGGAAAGTTCATTATCCTGCTAAACTATCCAAAATACTTCTCAGGAAGGCTGGAAAGATGATGGATGGCCATAATCAGGAAGCAGGCATCCTTAGTACAAATTTCCCTGCTCTTCTCAGTCATTACTTTATCCCTATAATAATTGGGCCTGAGAAAGGAAGGGAAGAGAGAGAATAATTATTTTGCAATAAAAGTTTTATATTTTGTTTTGCCTGAGTTATTTCCTATCCCTGAGTTTTCTGACTCTACGTTGTTTGGAGTTGTAAAGCTCTTCACTTTACGAAATACGAGTTAATCCTAGAAATAGCAAGAGTTGTTATAGTAGGTTTGGTGTTTCTTCAAGGTTATTTTGGATCTCATAAATTTGCCTAATTTTCTGAACAATCAAGAGAGATCATGATAATTTCTTTGGTGATAATTCCATCTATGCATTTGGAACCTTTGTGGAAACGTGAACTGCAATGAGACTCAGTGTCTAATAGGTTAAAAATTAATGTCAAAATTTATGGAGTTTGTTTCTACTTCTGTTGGATGTTGGCTTACATCAGGTGGGATGTTTCTTTATCTTTCTTACTTCTCCTTTGTATTTCCAGTTTTTTATTTTGGGGTTACTGCAATTTAAAGAGAATCTACAACAAGGAAATTGATCAGATTTGCTGCTGTGATTAGATGATAACACTTCCACACATGACTTTTTATTTTATTAAAGAAAAAATAATTCCCAACAGATTAATTCCACTTGATCATTTGGTTACCATCCTCAAATATTTTTGGTGAATAATCTTCAGGCAGTGGGTTGTTTGTGAAGTGTCATTTCATCTCTTTGCTCTTGCTGTTTTTCTTGTGTGGTTGCTCATTGAACATTACAAGTAGTTGCCTGAATATTTGTTTACATTTTGTTTTGAGTCTTTATCTCCATCCTGAGCTACTTGTGCAGCTGAATGCTGTTCAGAGATGGTGCTACTTGTCATGCTCAAATACACATAATCCATGATGAAGAGTTTGTTCTCTGCACTGTGATAGCTTCTGATCAGGATTTAATTTCTGGTCTGTGAAGTCAAGCAAAATAAAATAAGAATGATGACAAATGAGTAAAACAGTGAAACTGCTTGCCCCGAAGCCTTTGCAAAGGCGAGTCTTTTTCAATTAGTGCCAAAATGTGGAGGCACAGCTCTAATATAATTGAATAGAAGCAGAGAAACAAAAGCCAACCCCCTCAGGGTGTCCCCTTACTATACCTAAGTAAAATAGAGAAACATAACAAAATCTTTCTTACTCTAGGTTTTTTCTTGCCAAGCTGTATTTCTTAAAAAATAATAGTAATAAAAAAAGCATTTTGTTTTAGGAGGCAAAATCTGTACATAAGACCAGTCCTGAATTGCAGAGTAGCATGTGGACTACACTCATTGCAGCCCATACCTGATGGGTTCTGAAATCCTGTTTCAGCTGAAGGCTTCGTTCCAGCATCTTTGGCATCGTGTTTCCAGGTGATAAAACGTCTTCACCGGAATCTTGGTTTATATCAGTTTGATTTTCCACCTAAATTAGGGCAGTAGTATTTTTACATTTCTCAAAAGGACATAGAGGTGCATTAGCAGGATGTTTTTGAATATGAGGTCATGGAAGTAATGTAGGGCTTTGATACTGCTTATCTTTAAAGCGGGTTTCTCGTGAGGAGACATAGGCCTGCTCTTTCTCTTCCTTCTTGTGTAAAAAGCAAGCAGTGGGATGTGGCTCAGCCTGCTGATGTGATCTGTGTTTAGTTGTGCCTCTGGGTGGCCACACTTTGGTTTGTCTCACAAAGCAGACCCCTCTCACAGTGTGCCCTCCCTCCCCAGAGGAGCTGAGCCCCTGCCCAGTGAAAACAGGCTCCCAGATCCAGAGGGTTTGCTTTATAGTGTGTTGGGCTTTAGTTTGGTTTGGGCTTTTTACATAATTAAGTGGCTGTTGGCCCTAATGCTGAAATAATATTTTTGCAGATTTTGATAAGACTGTTACTTAGTAAAGAGTTATAATCTCCTGGAAGAGCAGCATTGTAACTTTCTCCAGTCACCAAGTGGAAAATGAATTAACATCAGGGCTTGCATAGCTTGCGTGAATTGCTGAGAACTTAGTCTTGTTTAATTCATACTGATTTATTTATAAAGTGATAACAAGATTCTTGTGGCTTTTGTAACATCTGCTTTTAATTTTAGAAGCATTCAAATCAATTTACTGCATGACAGTATTTGTCAACACCAGGTAACAATGACCTCTAACATGCCTACTCTGTTGAGACTGGTTAGCAGGATAGACTGAGAAATAATATGCAAACTCCTCTCTTATCAGGAGAGATCAGTTCCCAAAGTGACATGGATATTGTCGGTGTAGGTGATACCTTTAACCATGATATCACTTTAAACCCCTGGGCAACGCTCAGACCCTTGGGAGTGTATTGCTGCTGAAGGGAACTGCTTGACCTGAAACTCTGAGACTCTCTATGTTGGATTTTCTTCTGCTCAAGGGACCAAAGCTGCAGGGTTCAATCAAGAATCCCTTATTTTTACTGGCTTGCAGTCAGGAGCACTCAAGTGACTTTTACTTTTTTCTCCCAGCTTTTTCATTTTATGTTTTCTTTTTCCCTAGCCTTTTCTGTTTATTTTTCTTACATTCACTTGACACCTGTCCCTACATTTGGAGGATGAGATAAGAAAAGAACTCTGTCCCTGTCAAGACAACAAGCAGAATATGCCTGCACAAAAAGGGCCAGAGCAGGAATCAAACCTCTCCTGGGCAGGCAGGTGTGGGAGAGCTCCTTTGCTGCAGTTGGCTTTCTGGAATGCCATCAGTGGCCTTTTGTCACTGTAGTGGGTATAACTGGAAGCAGGTTTCTCTCTCTCTTTTGTTTTTCCTTATCTTTTTTATTTTTATTTTTTTTTGAGTCATCATGCTGCAGCAAATTTTGCGTGATATGTATATTGACCCTGAGCTCCTGGCAGAGCTGAATGAAGAGCAAAAGCAGATCTTATTCTACAAGATGAGAGAAGAGCAGCTGAGACGCTGGAGGGAAAGGGAAGAAAAAGCCCGAATGGAGGAGGCTGTGCTGAGAAAGACAGCAAGGCGCAACCAGAGTAAGATTTCTGATCTCCTTCTATACTTCAGAGCTGGGGATGGTGGGCTTGCCACCAGCTGTTGTGCAGCAGGCATCTGGAAGAGATTGCAAGGCTGAGTGCCAGCTGTCCTTATGGGCAAAATGACAGTCTGGGACTATGAAAGCAACATGTTCCTGCTCCTTGTAACTCCAGTCTGGTCCTTTGTTTTGGGAGTATGGTAGTGATGGAGTAAGGGGAATTGTTTTGAAGTGCCTGTTTCAGTCAGGAGTCACTGCTGATGTTCTGTCAGTGGTAACTGTTTCATCAGTTACCACTGATGAAACTTCAGTGGTAACTGAAGTTTCTCCTCTACTCCTAACAATTTTTTTTTTTTAATCACTTGACACCCTCACCCTTAACTCTAGGTCAGGCAAAAGCCTGTGCTGTTTCTTGACTTGGCATTAAATATTTCCATCTGGCTGTAGTAGGAAATAATTTTATGACTTTGAGCTTGTTATAAAGGGCTCTTTGTGAATAAATGTAGTACCAAGAGAGCCATACTGTATGAGACTAAATTTCCAAATGTATGCCCACTGCATAGTCTCCAAGAGATTATGTTTAGAGAATAGGATAATAGTGTGGCAAGCCAACAACCAAAACCAAAGAGAAGAAACCAGAAATGTGTTTGCATACCATATGTAGTTAAAATATGGAGCTCCTCCCCAAGGCTGCTAATGAATGCTGAATATGGTGACTTGAATGGGACAGTGATGGAAGAAACATCAGAAAATAACTTCTCCAAATGTCTTTTCCAACTGACTGGCCTTGGGTCCAAGTGGTTTTAAATAAACAGAAATACTTAATTCCTTGCTCTTTTCTCTGAGCAAGTGCCTTTCCAGCTCTTTCTCCCATTCATAGGATGAAGCTGTTAGGCTGGTGTAAGATAGAAAACCTTTTCATCTTGGAAATGTAACTACAGTGATTCCTTACTCAACAAGGAGATGTCACAGAGATACGTAAATCACTCATTTCCCTGCCAAAGATCTTATCATAACTTTAAATCTATTAAATCTTGAATATTCAAAGTTTCTAATAACTTCTGGTAGCTCATTTTGAGAAAGCTCTGTAATGGGATTGCAGTCAGCATTTCAATTGTTGCTTATTTGAACACACCCATGGTAGAACAACCCAGTACAGAGACAATGCTGGATTCAGTTGTCAGATGTGAAATATCTAGAGCTTCTGAGCCTTACAAAGTGCCTCTTAGACAGTTATCAATTCAAAGACTATGAAAAGTGCTTCAAAGTAAAACTATTTTCCAAGAGTCACTTGAAGGACAGACTTGCATGGAATGACTGGACTAAGGTACAACAGTAGCCTTAAAATGAGGGGAGAATGTCCAGAACACCCTAGTCAGCCCTAGCAGGAATTGAAAATGATCCCTCAGAGATGGCAAGGTGGATGTTTAATTTTTAGTTTTTTCATGTTAGGGCTCTCACTGTGAATGACCCTCTTGAGAGGGATGGCATCAGAACAGCTTCTCTCATACAGCACAAAAGCTTTGTTAATTTTGATTGATTTGTAGCTCAGAAAAAATTAAAAATGCAGTTCAGCTTCACATACCAAAACAACATCATATCATTGAGATAATCTGTATCATGCTCATTCTTTGAGGGAGACAGATACAGAAAACTCTAACTGCAAAAATATTTATCTGATGAATTGTCATAGTGTTGACACCTACATTTCTATATATAAATGATACATTAAACCTGTTCAGCGTCCTGCCATGGGAGACCATTTTCTGGGTAAGTAATTTTCTGATTAATAAGTAATTGGAGAAAGAAGAGCAGCTGAGTACCCTATAGATTATATTTGCTCTGACAAAGGTAGTCATTGAGTTAAATTTTGCAAAAATGCATTTCCATTTTACCTTCTTAAATTGCCAATTAAAGGTATTGCTTAGGTTTGACTTTTGCCCTCTGTTGGGAAATTTCTGCTTTCTTCAGAACTGTAGTGAAGAACAGTTTGAATCAGATTTGCAAGTCAGGCATCTACTTCTGCTGGAAATATCTTTTTGCTTTCATGAACTGGTGTTCACCAGAGTTAGGAAATATAACTTCTTTCAGGTGTGCTGATCATTAACTGTACAGGTACTTGTAATTGATTTCTATTGCATAGTTCCACAATGTGGTGTTAAATGGTCTCTCAGTGAAGATGGTTTCTTGTTTAAAACAGAAAAGATAAAAAAGCCAACTGCAAATTATGGATATAAAATAGTAATTACTGTGCAATAGTATTGCATATAGACTCAAGGGGTCAGAGTAGATGCCAATAATATTTTTATCTTAAAATATTTTTTCCTAGAAGACAATTGAAATAATAATTTTTTGGACCTTGAAGCTGCTTCATTTTAAGTTTCCCTTAATATATAAGTGAATTTCCGGGCCTTCTTCCCCTGCTACACAGTGTAGAATGTAGAGTAGTTTTATTCCTGTTTTAAATTAGTGGCTATCAAGAAATGCAAAGCTATCCCAATTACATGTTCTTTATTCCCTTGAAACTGGGGGATCTGAGATTTTTCATCTGTGGGTGTTTTTTTTTTTTTGACTCTGCTGCATGACATGTTTTATGTTTGTGCTACTTTTTTTAGGCCAAGTTTTATTCTGAGTTTGTAGATATCATTGTAGCCTGAAAGGGTGGAATAGATGTGAGCTTTCAATATCTCTAATGTGCTGAGTTTCTGAAAACATGGGTGTTGTTTGTGAATACAACATGGCATTTGTATAAAATAATGTTACACTAATTTAACTGTAATTATCTTTATAGCATTGCCTTTCAAATCCTTCTGCTTTCCTCAAAGTTTGAATAGCCACATATGAAAACTTTTCTTCCCATCTCTTTGGGATGGGATACAGTTAGATTGAACAAAAGCTGTTAATGACAATGGAGACTTCTCTAGATAAAAGTGCTCTGTAAAGTGCCTTCTGCTTGATCTAGAGTTCTATATCCCAGCTGCTGCAATTCCCCATGGATTCAGGAGTTTAGCTACAGTGGGATGTGTGCACCCAACAGCACAGCAAAAGGCTTGGATTTTTTCAAAACAAAGCAGTGACTGAGTTAAATTTTGATTTCCTACAGTGACTTAAGGATGAAATGCTCTTGTGTGTTAAGTATGCTGTCTTATGGAAACCACAAGTCACAGCTGGGGGCAAAAAGGTTGGCATATGCAGGTCAGAAAGGCCTTCTGCTGGAGTTAAAATCCTCAACAGACTTAGGGAATGCTCATTAACATGATCATTTTTTAATGGTTTGGAAATTGACTAGCAAAGGTGCCAAATCTTCATTGTTTTTTAAAGCAGTGCCACTGCGTGCAGGTTGTCCATAATGTCCTATTCAGTATTATGAAATTTGCGGTTTAGAAAACAAACAAGTCCAAACCATGAAATAAGATGTAAGCTGTTGAGAGTACTTAGCAAGCTAAATAGTGTACTCATCTGTGTAGTCTTATTCTTAATTTCTAAAGAAAATAATATTAGTCACCTGCAGTAAACACTAAACAGTGTCTGCTTCTGTATTTAAATTGTTTGGTTCCATGTGTCTTGAGGAAAGGTTACAATTGAAATTAGTATCAGAATGAGTTAATGTTGAAAGAATTATTTCACTTTGGGGGTGAATGAAATGTGTTTCGATTATTCAATGGTCTTAATTTCTTTGACAGTTAAAAAACACAGATTGTTGTCTAAAGGGATGCAATGTATAAACATCACTTCAGAATTAAGTATTTCCTTTAGAAGATATTAAATAATATGTTCCCAATTTTTTTGCTATTTGTACCTTGCCTAAAATTATTAGTAGAATTTGGGCATCATGTGGGTCCTCCCAAAATGACAGCATTTAGTGAGCTTATTCAATGTAAAGGAAATATTATGTAGCTTTAATTGAATAACGACTGCTGGCTGGCACTGGAATAGCATCACAGGTGAGCTGAATTCTTGGAGGTCCATCTTCAATTTGCTTACAAATTGCTCCTGGGCAGATGTTTCAGGAACATATCTTCATTGTAATAAAACAGTTTGCTTGTTCCTACTGTACTAAAGTCATAGAGAGAAATCGCCTCAAAATTTCAAGATCCCTTGGGATTTTCTGAGAGTTGACTAACAGGCAGCTTTGTAATTTGCACAGAATCATATTTATGTGATTAGGCAGGAGCCCTTTAGCCACTACAGCTGAGCTGGGAGGAAGCAGAGGACCCTGCCAATTTCAGTTTTGACACTGATGCAGTATCCAACACTGCCAGCATTCCCAAAATGAGATCTCAAAAACTACTGAGCATTAGGTAGCTGAAGGACAGTCATGTGGGAGGAGAAACAATGCTGATCTGCTGCTGTTATTTCTGCCATTTATTCATTGTGAACTGCAGTTCATGGTGCTTAGATGGGAGCTATTTGTAAACACTCTTATTTACCTGTCCTTAATAAGAGAAGCTGGGAGAAAATAGGGTAGGCTTATCACAGCATGGCTAGAAAATAATTTATCTATCTAAATGGTGTTTGTGTTAGAAAGATCATTAGAGAATAGATGATGCTATTTGGAAGCAAGTATCTCAAATATACCAAGTGGATGGCTGGAGAATACATCAGTGTCAGAGGAAGGCCAGTGAGTGAGCATGTGTTTCAGTGGGTGGACATGCAGTGACATTTTTTCTGACTTTGAACTTGGAAATGTATTCTTTATTTATGCTCAGGCCTCTACAGACCCTGGTAATACTTAGCTAAGATTCTATCTCCCGTGGAGACAAGCTCCTGTCAGTGTCCAGTGTCTCTGTATCACTGGATATGGATCTAACCAGGGACATCAGACCTCAATATTTCTGAAATTTCTGGCATTATTTTATCTTGAATTCTGCACAGTCCTGTCCTTTGTTTCCAATTCAGATATGGATGAAAAAGTAACAAGAGAACAGGAGCAAGAACATTAAAACAATTTTTGTTAGGGTACTGAGCCACCTAATTTGAAGTCATTGGATAAGTTTTAAT